AAAACAGACAGATGAGAGAGTGAGAGAAATGGAGACAGAGGAGACAATCAAGGTAAGAAAGGCAGGATTAGTGACGGGTCAGATATGGCTGCAGAGTGTTCAGTCGCTGCCAGACGGCTTATTGTCTCAGGTTCTCTTCTCACAACAACAACACACTCACGTAGTGGAAATGTGAGGAACCAGATATACATGTGCAAAAATCGCATGATTTTAATGTAAGAGCATGTAAGCATACACATGTGTGTGTATATACATACACACACACACACACACACACACACACACACACACACACACACACACACACACACACACACACACACACACACACACACACACACACACACACACACACACACACACACACACACACACACACACACACACAGCTCACTGCATTACGCTCATCAAATATAGATTGTTAACACATTACAAGGTCATGGCACCGCGTGTAAACTGAAACTAGCCCTTGTGGGGAAACACACTGCAGGATCGTTGGCCTTTAATCGACCTAATTGATCACATGAGGGATTTAAAGGCAGTTTGTTTTTAAATACATCTGAGTACACAATTTTGCAGACTAGTTCTATGTGCATTTGTAGTTACTCATTTGAATTGACTTAAAATCAAGAAAATTAAGTCAATCTATTCCGTCATATATTTCTGTTTACAATTGTTTTACTGCTTTCAATTTGTTCTGCAAATCATTTTATTATTGTTTTTTTTATAACATCTTCGCTTTTTTCCATGATCTAAACATGGAAAGGGAAGACAATTAATAATAGATTGGCTTCTTTTCATTGTGTTTCTACCATTTATGATTTTGTTAGCTATCTAATGGATAAAATGGCCTCCGACTGGTCAGCTCCGTATCTGGGCAGACATTTTAGGAGAAACACACAAGCCTGAAATCTATATGGCTGGATCAATATGTCACAGAGGTTACTGCGGGCACCACAGTTGACACTGTTGAGTAAACAAACTAGGGGAATTGATGTGAAATTGTTAAAAATGACCCCAATAATGCTACAGAATGGATTTCCTTTAATCATTGCATTAATTCTGAATGACTGGGCTGTGTGTGTGTCTGTTTACAGAAGCAACAATAAAGCACTCATATAAGCCACAAGAACAGTCTAATAATCAAAAACCAGAGAAAGAAAGAAAGATATAGAGACTCAGAACGGCAGGCTTCAATTCTTGTTCCTCACAACGCAGGAGAGATTGATGGCTGCATTCAGGATTTCTACACACCACTAATTGGATTCACAGGTCATTAGATAAAGTACACGAGTGAGACGGTTACAGCCTAAAGACTGAGGGAGGAGAGAGAGGGACAGGAAAAAGGGAGAAGGGTGCGAGACGGGCAATATTGATGAGGTTGTTTGGTTCAGGACCAATGAAATGTCCTCCCTCTGTGCTGCGCCTCCAGAGGCCTGTTTCCCCACACAGAGGGGGGTTGATCGATAATTCGTGCAGAAGGAAAAAAGCGGGGGTTGGAGACAGAGCTGAGAGGATGGGAAATAAAGAGAGTGAGTTGACGTCTAATGCGTGGTTCACTTACACGGATCTCGAGTTGCCTGTTGTCTCTCCTTTTCAATATATTGTGGCAAGAGAAGGAAATGAGATTACACTGACCATTATGTGCCACAAAGAAGTGGAATGAGGGGGTGAACATGTTTCCCCCCCCACACTATGAAGTCTGTGCCCCTCTAGATGAAGGTTGGTCAGTTTATACCAACATGTTCAAATACAACCTAAATAAGCCATCACCCAAAAAGAGGATTTAGCACTGGTCTAGTGAATAGAGATTGAGGTTAATTGTAGCAGCCATAGTGACAATCTTTTTATGATGTGTGTCCCAGCGATAGAGTGAGCTCATCTAGAAACACTGTACTTGTTTAGAGAGCCAGCGGGGCTTGTTGTTTTAACATAGGGGAACAAGGGTACAGTCTGCTCAAACACATACAGGCATGCAGATGGCTGTTCATTAATTACAGATGGATTGGGGGGGAGAGAAAGAGAGAAAAAAGAGAGAGGGGTCAGCTTGTATTCTCTCTCCCTCCCTGGACAATTGCCTCTGTCTGCCCCAGACCTCTCCTGGCACTCTTAATCAAGGTGCAGGTGCGTGGGGTTTTTGTGTGAATGTGTGTGTGTGTGTATGTGCGGCAGGAACACAAGGAGGGGTTCTTGCCGTCTTCAGCACTCTGTAGCAGCAATCCGATTAAAGCCCTGCTGCTGTGGGGCCTGGCTGTCCTCCCCTCTGCAGGGCCTCACGCTCACCTTAAAACCCCTTTACACACAGCCACTGCCCTGCACACATGAAACTAAAGCCTTTAAAACACCTACCTAAAATACACACACACACACACACACACACACACATACATACATATATATATATATATATACACATATACATAGACTATTCCACCTTTTCCCAAAGTGGTGTGTATGTGTGTGTGGCCTCGGAGCTGACCTCCCATCATCACCCTGGCTGTTGGAAACCATTACTTTGGCCCCCTGGGGCCCGGCCGCCCCCTCACAGGGCCCTCTGCACTCTGCTTCGACAACCAATCTGTTAAAAGACAGAGAATGCTCGCCCCAGCAGGGTTGGGGCTTCATTTGGCAACATATCCAGTCTTTATTCCAAAAGTCTTTGCACATTAAATGGCAGCCACATTACTGCCAACCTGCAGCAAAATATGTTCCGCATGCATGGCAGCTGGAAACCTTACAAAGCACCAATTAAAAACAATCAATTTAATGCCTCACGGGTAGGTTAACATTTGGTGAACCCTAGATGGAAAATGCACTCCGCCAAAAGAAACACTTGTATGGTTCCACTGACCTCTGTGGAAATCCAATATGGAGCCAACTATTTGTATTCGACATGTAAAATCACCCAGTTTGATAATATAGCATTTCAAGATTATATATTGATCTAAGATAGTCTGAATGGCTTGCAGGTAGCTGTGAGACATTCATGTTTTCTATAGCAGGCAGGATGTCACCGCATTTCAGTTACATCCTTTTTCATCAGCATGAACAAAGGCAAATCTGTCGGCTGACCTCAAATGCAACTTCCCCTTTAGAAAACATTGAAAACGCAGTGTGGGAAATTTGTCTGTCTGCGTGTGTGTATGATACATGTTAGGTGTCCTATTGCAGAGGAAACAAAGAGCTACTTTACTAAAATGACTGAGCCTGATGAATAAGCAATCTTCTGTAGCAAATTAAAAACGAATTTCTTTCTTTATTCAGCAAGAGGCAATTTGGGCACATTAGGTTGTAAAAAAGAAATCAATTGAAATCTGGTGACGGTGTCTTTCGTTAAATCAATTAAGTGCATCGACAAACATCTTTATTTCCATTTCAGGCATTATTACACTGCCAGTGGATCGTAAAGGTGCTTAATATTCAAGCCTGATTCTCAGAGGGATTTTTTTCCACACAACCCTTTAAAAAAAAAAAAAACTCCGGACACAAACTGATTATAAATTACATTTCACTATGATTTGTATTCTAATCAGTCTACAAAAATGTGCAACTGTGCACCAGAATCTCCTTATTACACGCCACATTGGAGCCCTGATATCTTCAGGAATTCTTGCTCACTAGGAAGAGCAGTGGTTTGTTTTCCAGCTTGTGACACGGATGGGTGAGCAGATTAGTGGTGAAACTGAGGCCAGTTCAAGGACACAAGGTCACAAAACCGGACACACAGGAAGTGAAGATGTACTCACCAGCTTGAAATCCTGAATGCTACAAATGAAATAGGGAGTGTTGGGCCGGCGACTTTCAATGTACACACAATCTGCAAGGGAGAGGAAAAGGGAAAATAGGTTAACTTGAAAGAAGATGTTCACACTTCCCAAAGCTTCCACATAGAGTCAGTAATAGATGATTCTGCTTGCCATTACCTCTGCTGAAAAGACACTTTTCTCCTCGAGTCAAATTCAATTGGAATGTGAGTAATAGGATTAAGGACTTTTGGAGCGCTACAAGGTTGCCTTTCCAAAGCAAACATTACGCCCAAGGGGAATTATGTTATTGTTCCACTTTTTATACACCAGTGAGTAATACTGGCTTTAACCCCGCCCCCTTCCTACAAAATGACATCTCCTGTCATCGCAGCTATACGGTACATGTTCAGCAACATTTTAGTTAGCTTAGCAATGAGACCCAAAAAAAAGAATTCACCTCAGGTTTTAAAAATGTTGCCAAATTACATAACCCTCCCAAGTGTTAAAGCAGCCCGCTCACATTGTACGAGAGGAGGTGGCCCTGGCCGGCTGTGCTGCTAAATTGAATGTGACTGGTGGTATGGCCAGGTCGCGAACCCTCATCCCCTTAACAAAAACATTCACGCTGCAGAGGACAAAAACACACAGCCACTTCTGTGGAGAAGAAAGGGACGGGGGGGTGGGGGACACGGCTAATGGTTACAGCTAAGCCTGCCACAGTACTTTCAAGAAACAGCCAAGGGTTAGAATTATTAGAGAAAAAGAGATTTGAATCCACAAAAGGCACATTAGCATAATAGTCTCCCATTCACCTTTTGCTTTTAGCTGAAACACAAAACCAGGCGTGATCAAACAAAGAGAAAAATAAAGATGTTTTTTAGTTTAAATAATAATCTGTAAAGGACAGTTCTTGTTTGTTTGACAGGAAAAGCATTTGAAAGCCACCGACACTTAATTGATTTAAATGTACAACACACATTGACCTTGCTTACAGATGGAAGCATTGCACCAAGCTATTTGACTACTGGTTTGGCCTGTTGTTGGTGCAGCAGAGCGAAGCACTCTCGCTCACATTAACAAACATACACACAAAAGGCCATAGAGACAGATACTATCTTAAGCTTCGTTTCAAAAAAGCTACCATAGGTAACATTTGCACTGACAACACAACGTGCCTGTGCTCATTTCACCCACACAAATGCTGAGCTGTTCCTTGCACAAACACTCGGCTCCACTTTCCCTAACAAAACATGAGCAGCCAAGCTTTTTTCAGAGACTGACAGTGCCATCATCTGTTATTTATTTGTTTGTGTCAACAGAGTTATCGATCTGGCTGTGGTTTATCTTACCGCTTGCAGAGGAAAAGAGGGGTAGCAAAGATATTAAATGGCTCTGACACCCAAGATACCATTTGTAGAGGGGCTGCTGTGTACGAGTGCGTCTGTGACATCATGGCCTTTGTTTTTGAGAGCGTGTGTGTGTGTGTGTGTGTGTGTGTGTGTGTGTGTGTGTGTGTGTGTGTGTGTGTGTGTGTGTGTGTGTGTGTGTGTGTGTGTGTGTGTGTGTGTAACCCCAGGGTGGGCTTGTTATCTGCTGAATGAGCTGTTCCAAGGGGAGGGGGGGTTTATTGCCCTTGCTGGCTCTGAGTGACGCATTATATCTCTCTCACTACTGCCCTCTTCTCGCTTTACCCTCTCCCTCCTTTTCACCCTCCTCTACACCATCCCTGGAAGTCATTTACAAGATAACATGAATGAAAATATCCATCAGTGCTATTGTGTGATCTTTGAGCAACAGTGGTGTGGTGTGTGTGTGTTAAGAGAGACGGAGAGAAGCGGATAGAGGAGGAGGGAGCAATAAGAGGGGGAGGGGGAGGGCTGAGAACAAAAGAGACTAATCTAAATGAGATGACATGTTTCGGAGGAGTCAAATCGAAGGAATTAGGGTTTAGTGTCCCTTCACCTCATCGGCACATTCATTTAGAGGGGCCAGATCTCTGTGTCTGCACCCCAGAGCGCACCACCAGGCATAAAGAGTTGACTGCGAGAGTGAAAAAGAAAGGTGGTGGGAAAAAAGAGAGAGCAGTATCTAGTTGAATCAGCACACAAGTCTATTCTTCCAACGTCAAGAGCACATTTTGAATTCATTCTGGGCACATAAAATGTACCTCAAGGGTATTTCTCTGAAAACGACTAGAACGTGAATCTCTGTGAATGTGAAAGTTAAAACCCACTTAATGCACCAGACTCAGCCGTTCGAACGAAAAGGAGGCAACGGAGCTCAGGGAGGTTTGGTGGGGTGAGGGTGGAGGGGAGGCTTGTCGAAGCGGGCCACAGGGTTTCTCCGGGGGTCTGCCTTGCTTGTTAGACATTCCTGCCATTTTGTGCATTTGGAAGTGGGTCTCCTCGCTCAAGTGGAGAAGAAGTGGAAAAGGGGAGGGACGAGAGGTGTGGTTGTGGCTGGGGTCTACGTGGGGGGATGGGCGGTTTTCTTTGGGGTTGAAGTGTGTGCTCGTTGGATGGATGTAGGCTTCGCTGTAGGAGGGAGGACCACAGCGGGGCCTTTGTAGTAGAGTGCTCTCACTCCCTCTGCAGCTGTTAACTTCTTCTCCACCCCACGATCCACTGCCACCACCCAGACAGATCGAGAGCAGAGAAAGTTCAATACTTTGACACGGGGAGATAATCGTGATGCCAGTGGCACTGACACCTGATCCTGGCGGTCACTGTTTCTCCAATTACATTGTCACTGCTGAGTTCAGACGACAGAATGTTCATTGTTGTAACCTCATGACACACACACAGCAATTTTCTCAGCTGTAGCTCTTTGTTCAGCCAGCCATTCTCTCATGGCTGCCAAGCATGCCTAATCTAAAACACACCTAGCCTCAGCAAAAGAGCCGTGTCCTACTCTCTGTATCAAACTAAATAAGATGCTGTTTCATTTGCTGCAGCGTTTCAGCGGAGGGGGGGGGGAGTTCTTAGATAATATCAGCCTTTTTTTTTTTTAACGAGGCGCCAACAATGGAAGAGTCACATTCTGAACACGGTTGTAAATGCCAATATTTTGTAAACAGTGGTTGGGCGGGTGGTTGGTACTGTGGGATGAGATCAGCTAAACACAGCTTGTTTAAGCCGGGCCTGCAGGTGGTTACTGTTAGCCATGAGGCAGGACGCACCTGCATTGTAAAAAAAGGGGTGCATGGCTCAAACTTGCAGAGCGCACACACACACAGTGAAGTAGTGCAAGGCTTTAGCAGAGCTACCCCCTTGAGTGTACTGATCCTAAAATTAAATAGCACAAGGAATGCAATAATGGAACCACAGGGGTGTGAGGGGACTGGAGGGCCAAGATACAGAGAGCATGGCCCAAAGACGGAGACTGGTGTTATTACTGATCCAGCAGCAGCTCTGGGAGGGAGACCGGCTGATGACCAAGGCTGCCTTGTGCCACTTCCTGCTGGGCCGGTCCCAGTGGGGGAGCGTGACAGGCAGTCAAGGCCTTGAGGCACACGGACACTTTGATTCGTTCCCAACTTTCCTTCCTCTCTCCTCAGCCACAAGCCCAACAACTCTCGCTTCTTCACACTGGAAAAGCAAGAGGGAAATACCTGGCAAGCGATAGCATCAGCTCTCTACAATAGGGCAGGCCTACAGCTGACTGAGCTCCTAAGGGAGAACAGAGGCTCTTTGACAATCCCCCCTTCTTCTTCCTCTCCTTTCCCTCTCGGCTAGCCCACGCTTTCTCATTTAGCAGTCGGCAGGTGGTTGGATTTCACTAAAAAGCCCTTTTCCCAGAGTCTCCAGCGTATGGAGAGATGAGAGAGCAGAGAGGGCTTTTAAAAATAGATCGCTTCAGTTAGTGACATGCTACAGATTCACACTGCTATTTCTTAATATGAGATGACTCCAAGGGCTTTTCCCAATTGTTAGCTTGACTGTAAACATAGCTAGCCTTTTTAGCACACTGGATGTGCAATGCTAATTGAGCTCCAGCCTACGGTGTCTTGGCTCTTGGATAACCGATCCAACACATACTGAATATTTGACAGGCTTCTCAAGAGGATCTGTACTGAAAGCAGAATTCAAATGGGTTGTGTTCCCATGAAATGGTTTTATTTTACTCTGAATAGAACATCCATCGGAAAAAAGGCCCTTTTGAGGTTTCAATTCTAGGGTACATTCATTATAATTCACGTTTAAAAGGTAAAGGTCATTGTGCTCCAAATGGCATAATGTAACGATATCTAAAGGTTTGGTTCTAGAGCAACAGCAGAGAATAGGTCAGTCAGCTAAGCCCCTATGCTGGCTGTCCTGGTAAAGCGAGACACTTGAAAATGCTATTGTATTATAAACAATTTATATTGGAAGATGTAGTTTGATAGAATAAAAACAATTCTAACATGAGTAATGTTTAAAAAAAGGTGTGTTGCTTATCGTAACAACTGGGTTTGGAAAAATAAATAAATCTTTTTCAAATGTAGTTTTTGCACCTCAAGTCATGTGACGTCTAGTTTCATTATATTCAATGAAAGATAGATATCTCTACGCCTCATACTCTGCAACTTACACCAAAACAAACTAGATTGATAAAGAGCACTACAGGTAAGAGGAAGAATACGCATTTTAAATGTTAGGATGAACTGATCCTTTGAAGAAATACTCCCCCAACCCTTTGTCCCAAGCGTCTGAATGTCCCCGCCTATCCAAATAAGCAGTCAAGGCGATAATCATTATATATGACGTGAGGAAAATTACAGCCGACATATATTAAAAAAAGAAAAAAGAAAATACACAAAGAACATGGCAGGTTTGTGTGACTGCCAACAATTGGTCCTGAGTTAGAAGGAAAGGAGGAGGAGGGGGCGCTGGTTATCTAGCTCTACATGTGTGACAGACATACTCCTGCTACACTGTGAGCGTACAGTGACACACGACACACACACACACACACACACACACACACACACACACACACACACACACACACACACACACACACACACACACACACACACACACACACACACACACACACACACACACACACACACACACACACACACACACACACACACACACACACACACACACACACACACACACACACACACACACACACACACACACACTCCCCAGGGTTCTGTGGTGGCTGCGGAAAGAAGCGCCAGCTGTCCACATCAACTGCTCCCCCAACACTCATACACACAAGGTGTTTTTCTCAGACTAGCTCTGTATAATACACTGCACTACACTAACCTATCACTTTCAAAGAAGAAATTACTGAATCCAATCAAATCTTGTCATTATCTCCCTGAAAGTAAGTGGGCCGGCTGAGGCAGTAGTGTTGTGTGACATAAAAGCGAGGTAAAGGGGCAGAAGGAGTGGGGGGGGGGGCAGGTGGTTTCCATTAGCTCTCTCCATTTTAAACAGAGCAGCCAGCCAGTCAGTTAGGAAGGAAGGAGACATGCTATGGCAACCAGCCGCCTGCAGAGCCAGGCAGAGTCCTGCTGCAGTGGAGAGAAGGGATGAGCAATGTGTTTAGTGCTGTGCGTGCTGGACTGAGCCTGTGTGTGTTGAAGGAGTGTGCTTGTTATCGATATGAAGCGTGTCTGTGACTGTTATAAGCACGCTGGGAACGCGTTTGTGGGAGCATTTATACTGTTCAATGTGCAGAAATACTGCTTATCAGAGTACCGTGTATTTGTTCGTCTCTTTGCTCCAAGGGTGTCTCATATTGATCCTCCCATGGAAGTGTGTATAATCTCCAGAGAGGGGATCTATAATATGGGGTGGGGGGGCGAGTGCAGAGAACAGGCTCTGGAGGTGCCTGACCGGTCCTGGGGAAGTGGAGAGAGCTCAGCCACAGGGGAAACATCGATTAGGCATGTCTGTTTCCCCCGCATCAGGCTGTTCACCTCAGCACCCGGCCGTACCATTGTCCCGGGACAGAGTCCGCTGGACACCACCCCAGACACACTCCTCCATCCTCTCATAACAGCAGCAGAGCTACAGTTAACTGCAGGTCTAGCTATTGGCTGATTGCACGTCTCCTTCCAGCCTTCCTCCTCCAATCGATGTGCACTAAGCCGCCTGAAGCCATCTTCAAGGGATAGAAAGACTGAGCAGAGAGATTGGAAGGTGGCTGGAGATTGGGAGTGTGCAGACCTTTCAATACCAGCCTAACTGTTATTTATTTTGTAATGACATGGGCCTTTATGTTTTCAAAACTCCCTGACACAAAAGCAATCCAAACAGTATTTTGGTTCACATTTTCTTTCCTTTTCTGCATCGCTTATCATTACTGACTTCTTCCCTCTCCCCCCTGTCTGGGGTGGTGCAAATCCCTCTCCAGGGGTGGTTAGTTTTACATATTGTGTGTCACTAGACGGCTATAAAGCGATTTAACATTTAGTAAAGCATAATCCATTGCAGGCTTTGTGGCTGCCTAAGCTGCACACATCAAATCTGATTGCAAGAAGGCTGCCAGCACTGACCAAGCAGGAGGAGGAAAACAGGCACTGCACACGCACACATGCACACACACGCATGCACACACACACACACACATGCACACACATGCACACACACATCTTATCACTTGAACAATGAACAGAGGAGACAGCAGGAGGTCAGTGGCTGAGGTGGAGGATCTTCGGCGTTGACAATAGGAGGTAAATTACAAACTAGTGTACTGACGATGGGGCCACCCACTACCCAATCCTGGCTCATCCCTAATCCAAACCAATCTAATAGCAGCTCCAGTCTTTGTGGCGGGGGCAGGCTGTGGCACTCGGCTGTTTTAGGCCTGTCTAACTAATTGAAGGAGAAGACATGAAACATAAATATTACCCATCCACCACACACTGTCAGTACTTTGTGCTTGGATGTGGAAATATAAATATTCGGCAGGGCTAATCCACCGAGACGCTTGACTTTGTTTATATGCCTTTTGAATGTTTCACTGATGTGACTGACTGCCTCCGTTTTTTTTTATAACCCCCTCACTCTACTCCCCCCTCTCCGCATGGTTAAGTATGAGACAAAGCGCCGGTGCTCTCTCTATTAAACATGAAATGCGGCGCAAGAAAATGCTTGAATGCAGTCAGTTGCAGAGAGTTACAGAAATAGCGAGTGAGCAACAACAACACTTGGGTTCAGTGTGACTGCTTGCTTGAGGACCTCCACTGATACCAGAGCAGAGATGATTTAGCCGACAAGATTACGCAGCTAGAAGGAGAGTGTGGGGTGGGGGGGTCAGGCTGTTTCACTGCACCTACTCCAAATTGTCTCTTTAGTTGTTGAAAAGAAAAAGCAGGGCTGAATCTTTGTGTGTATGGGTAGCTAGGTGGAGAAGAAAATCACCTCAGACACTGGCTGTAATTTTCTACATCTTCATATTAAGTACCAAAGCAATGTGGGCCGCCCCCTGCTACTTGACCTTTTGCTAGCTGCTAGATAAACGAAAAGGCTATGACGGCGGCAATAATTAAGTTGCAAGGTGGTAGCAGCGAGAACCGTCTACACACACATGAATAGATATCCTGGCATACTCCTGGCAGTGAGTGTTGACATTCCCCTCGCTAATATAAGCATTTTTTAAACAGTAGGTGAAAGAGAGGCTATGTTTACAGCTGCGGAAAAGGTTGGCCCTCTTTTTTGCATCAGACATAATAAAGACACTGCACTGCAGTTTAAACATCTCTACAGGAAACTAGAGTACAGGTTTGCCCCAGAGAAGCATTCTTTCGGTGAGTCAGATGCTGCTTGGATGAAATCATTATCATGGCTGTCGTCACTATCACATCATCTAGTGAAGCACCACTTTGCTTTATTGACTTAGGCTAAGACGAAGCAGAGACTGGGTCAACTTGAAATTGATTGCATGATGCATTGGCCTCTAGCCTGAGGGAGAGCTTCTGCTGGTAGAGAGCTGCTACTCTGGAGAAGCTGCGATAACTCTGCAGCGTATTGCAACTGAGATTTAAGAACATTCATTGAATTCTTAGGTATAACAAAGTTCGATATAGTGAATGGGATGTTAAGAAGTTGACTATCAGTAACATTACATTAGCCATGGCGAGGACTTACCTCCGGGTCTGTAAACAACATCGTCTTCTGTGATGAAGGAGGTGATTTCTCCGTTTTCTGTGCGCTCGTAGCGTGATTTCTTTTTAGGCGTCTTCTTCTTGCCTTTCTTGCCGGCCTCCTCGCCCATGCCGTTCACTCCACCTGGGGTGCCATTTTCGTTGTCCTCATCCTCACTGTGGTCGCTCTCTGCATAGTTCTTGGCCCCGCCTTCCAGCGTACAGCTGCGTCGGGGCCTGGAGCTCTCGCTCTCACGGTCGGCGTCCAGCCGGCGAGACTTGCCAGACTCTCTCTTGTCCCTATCCCTGTCTCTATCTCTGTCCCGCTCTTTCTCCCTCTCCTTCTCTTTGTCGGCCGTCATGATCCGCCACGTGCCTTCCTCAGTCCTCTCACGGCTGGGCCTCCGTGAAAGGTAGACTGTGAGCCTGGGCTTCAGTCTTCTGAATTTACCAGTCAAATCCAGGGAAAATTTGGCCACACCAACAACCCCAGTGTTTCAGAAAAGCTGTGGACAAGAGAAAAAGGACAATTAGCATATATCCATGTCAAAAACCACTATCCTTACAGTTAATAAGCTACAATTAGAAATGCTTGTTTTGTGCTGGTGGATATCTTTTTGTGGGTGAGAAATACAAGATTAGTTCCCAGAGATCAGGCAGCTGTGCTGACTCTTCTCAACATCACAGTGATTGTTGGCACTCCCCTCAACAATCATGTATACTCTGGAGAGCACTGAGTAGCTTTATCAAAGAACAGCATCTCTGAGCTTCCTGCTCAAACAGATTTCAATTCTTCCAGAGAGGCAGTAAAACAGATTTATTAAAGGGTAGAAATTGTTAAAGAAAAAATGAGAAAAACCACAACGACAAGCGCTGTAACACAATAAGCTTAAGGGAAGTCGTAAGTGAATAAGCATAAAGAGCTAGTGCTGCATTGAGGATGAGGCTGGCAGCCAATAGAATTCCTCAGAGATAATGTATCGAGGGGCTTTTCGCACAAGACTCTGCTTGTCGTTTGCAATGCCACGGGAGACGCAGCATAAAACTCAATGACGGAGTTAACTGGCTAGCTTCTCTGCAGACCATCTGTGATGACACCAGGCTCAATTTTTACTCATCTGTGCACGTGTCTGTCTGTGTGTGTGTGTGTGTGCGTGTGCGTGTGTGTGTGTGTACTCTGGCTTACTGGACTGAACCCCACCCCACCCTCCTCCCTGGCTGACAGTCACCACTGTGTTAGTATAAAGTGACAGCTCTGGAGGGAAGAATACAGCAGTCCGCTGGGTACGGAAAGGGAGAGGGGAGAGGCTGAGTCAGTCATTTACCACGGCCGGTCTGCTGCCATTTTCAGCTATCGTAAGAAAAAAGGAACCCAGCTACTGCTCTCTCATGCCATAATGAAATCCTCCATAAACAGTGAAGTCGGAAAAGCTAAAACAGCACGCCTTCTGCTCCACACTGCCCAATCACACTGTGCCTACAAGGGAGGCTTCTCATTTACTGCCAGTGTTTACCCCTCCACCCCCACCGCAACAAATTAACTAGAAATAGTTATTACAGCCCCCAGAGGGATCAGACCAGGCAATCAGCACTACGTTACCATGGTGGTGATATCCGGGTTGGAGAGTGAAAAAAAGGGGGGAGGGGGGGTAATTGAGCCAGGTAGCAGACTTTGAGTGAAAATGACACATCATGTCTGCAAGTGCATTTATTGAGAGGACTCTCACAAAATGTGTAATGATAGAGGGAAAGAAAAAAGGTAGAAGAAAGGATGTTGGCACACACAGAGACACACGTATCCACACACAATGAAGGGCGTTTGACTACAGCGCTCCTCAGCAGCGGGTGCTGTCATCTCGTGAGCAGACACCAACTGACAGGGCAGCTGCTCTTGTCGTCGGCTTCAACACAAACACCGGGCCTGATTAAACCGCAGCCTCGTCACAGCCCCATTAATCACCTAATGATGAGTTACCACGGCGACCACTGGGCTGCCAGCATATACACACACACACACACACACATTTGTACACACCGTGGACGTGAGGGCTCGAGAGTTTTCATGCATTGTGTAAGGGCGGACACACGCACACATGGCAGATATACACCTCCATTGGTGTGCCAAAATACATACTGTGCCCCCTCCTGTGTCCATATCCAGCAGCATGCCTGGGAGGTGTGAGGAACATGAAAACATTGATGAAGGTAACATTTGATAGCACAGTTCTAATCCTGGGAGCTGCCAGAATCTGTGTATGAGCTAAGCACCTCTTCTTCCCTCTAATCAGTAACATAAGCCTCTTCCAGCGAGAGCAACGAGGACCCTGAACTGCTGCGGATGGAGGGCTGGCCCGCTTTCCTTTGATGTTGTGGACTGCTAAAAGCCTCCATAAGTATCTTTACAATCTAGGTGCTATTAGTTTGCATCTGGATACACTTTACACAACTGCCTCATTACAAAGTCTGTATATCCAATTACCTTGCTGACGTTAACATGATTGTACTTACAAAATTCCTCACACGGACATGCGCTCGCTCTTAATTGTCTTTTACTAGTCAATTAACATTATGTCCCAGTGTCTGTGGTTAATTTGTTGCACATCAGTAGCTGTCGTCTGATGCAGATAAAAGAGCGAGTTGCAAAAACAAACTGCGTGAGTAAAAAGGAGTGACTCAGTGTGAAGTGAAGTGGTAACACTGTGGCAATGAAAAGTCATAATGTATTGATGGCTGACAGGGAAGAAAAGAGAAAGTGAGACAGAGAGAGAAAGCGAGGGGGAAGGCTCTCCACCCACAGCCGGGGAAACAAAGTGCTTAGTGGAAAGCAGCGCTGGCTGCCGGGCCGATGAATAACGCTGCGAGGGGGCAGGTGAGGCTTGGAGCTATTACACATCAATCACTGGGCCAGGACCCTTTGAAAGATACCAGCTGTCTTAATGGAAAAGAGAAGGAGGGGGTAGTGGCTGAAGAGGGGTTCAGGGGGTCTCAGGCAACGTCACCCTAATCCACAATTTACATTACTGCAATGGTGTCAAGGACTAGCAGCCAGCAGGACCCTGCGCAAATACATTTCTCTTTTCCAAGGCTGTTTAAATGAGACCTCTGGCCTGAAAAACCACACCGTTTGTGGCTCGATTAACACATCATCCCCCACAATGGCCACACAGCAGCTTTCTGTTCCTAAACACAGCCAGTTTGTTTTTGCTCTCTCTTCATTTTCTAAACAGCCTTTTGAAAAGCTATGTTTTATTCATTCCAATCACTCCCACATTTACCCACATCCAAGCTCATCGCTGAAGTTTTAATCAAAACCTGTCCAAGGATAAACCTCCAAATGAACACGCTTTGCATCAGTACCTATAGAGCCGTATTGCTTTTTTTTATTTGTATCATGCCAAATCTTTGTAATTCATTATCTTGGATTGTAAATGTGCACATATTGGACATTATTTCATAAAGCTTTATATAAAACATATAGAAATGTCTACATTTAAATGCAAAGTAGATTTTAACAACAATGTCACCCACCCAGCGATCCAATCGGTTTAGGGAGAGTCACTAAAGAAGTCATTCATGGCATATTCAATTGGAGAATTATGAAGTAGAAAATTCAAAATGTGATTTAGGGTGGGCTTTGCAAAAGGATTGAATGAAATTCTCGCCTGAATACAGATTAGAGGAGAACAATGTTAGCATGGATATACCAGGGTTATTAACAATGAGGGCAACTCAAATTGATCCGAATAAACCAGCCAGATCCTCAGCAGTGCACGGATCCTAGCTGTGGTGATGTGGAGCTGCAGCAGGTTTTTATCAGCTCCAATCCATTACTCTGTACGACCTAATCTAAGCTGCCATCCCAGCCCCTCAGAAACAACAGCACAGTGAAAGGCTCAGCTGGAGGCGAGGGGTAGGCCACTTCACGAGGGATTCTCTGTGGTCTCTGCACGCTGCCTGCTTTGTCTTACCTGCTGCAATCATGGCCTACTCTATTCTCCGAGGCCATCTCTGTTTTAGTTCACATTGGCAGGGCAAAGACAATTGTCTGCTCCACTTGTTTTTCAATTCACTGATGAGTAACTAAATCTTTGTTCCCTCTGCTAAAGCAGTGCTCACAAAGCATCTATTTTTAGTCGGCATCCGGGGTTAGTTTAGTAGGTAAAAGCCACGCTCGAGAAAAGATTGCTTGGGGCTTTCCAACATCAACATTTAAACCTGCCTAGAGACTACCACGGTAAAAGGAAAAGCTTGGCTGCACGAGAACAGATTCTCATGCACTATGACACCGTGTGCAACAATAAACTATCACTGTCTAGAAACATAAGGACAATATACAAAATCTCCCTGGGCAGAGAATAGCTTTAGTTACCTTCTTTCTTCAATATAGCAGGATACCAATAAGTCTAACATATTCTCTGTCCAACAGTCCACAGATACTTTCAACCACAGACACGAGGATCAGACTCAGCGCTCCACAGGCTTTAAGCCTTCCCTCCATCTCTAAAGGAAAGCTAAATCCTCCTCTAGTCCCTGTTTGTGTGCTCTCTCTGAGAGCTCCAAATGGCCCTGAGGGGGCCCCTCCACAACCCAAGGTGTCCATTATCTACAGGGTGTGAGCAGGACTTCATTTCGCAGCCTAATACCAGCTACTTGAAGACGCAGTCCCTCTCAGTCTGGCAGGAGGAAGCTGAAGGCTATTTCAGCAGCTCTGACTGCTTCACCGGGCATCATGTTTAGACACGGCTCCTGAGGGAAATGCCAGGGTTGTCTATTGTCAACCTACCCTTTTCCTTTGGACGAGGCACTCCTGAGAAATGTAATTGTGAGCCGGCCAGTAAAGGACCTCTCCCAATGTGTCATTGATAAGAGAGGCAGCAGAATGTGAGGTATGTGGCGGCACACAGCGCTATCATGAAGGTGGCTATTAATTGAGTTTGCCTGTAGATCTGTGGGCTGCTTATTTTGCAGTGTGAATAAAGTGTCTGATTTGAAAGGATTTCTAGTGTCTTTTACCTCCCAAGAGGCACTGACAATTCAATTTTTTGGTGAATTATCCTGTTGTAATGGAAACGTACTCAGAGGTAAAGCTGGGGTCAGGAGAGATATAAATACGCACTAGGGACACATGCAGGCCTGACTTGCACTTAAATATCTGTATCATATATGTTTCTTCGTGCATTTATCTCTATAAAATGGAGCAGAGCTGTGAAAGAGGGAGGGGAAATTGAGTTGCATGATATTTTCTCAATCAGATGTGTATAGTTAAAAGATTTACTGGGAAAGGGGGGGGGGGAAGTAACAGTGATTTTGTCGTATGTTGGAGTGAAAGGACTCTTGAGATTTAAGTATTTGAGCACTCAATCATGCACCACTTGCACTGATATTCTGCAATCAAACATCCCCACTCTTCTTCCAAGCTCTGCTTAATGATCCTATCAGTCAGTTCGACTCCAACTGGTAGTCTAAATGAGCGTGGGTAAGGAGGAAATGTGTTCATATGGCTGCT